TGTTTGCTGACAATTAGAGCTGAATATAATCAATTTCTTACCAAAATATAGAGCAATGATCTTTATTTGTAAGTGTTAGCAATATTTATGTTAAGCTTCTAATTACTATCAATTATTTTTTTCTATCAGACGAATTAAGTAAGCCATCTCAAATTGGCAATCACCCTTGCCCTATTATAGTTTATAACCCAATGTGACCTTGGGATTAGTCAGTATTGACATTAGGTGTTTTGATCCCTAATATTAGTTAGCAGTTTATGTGGAAAAAAAAATCTTTTACTTATCGAGGATTTTTTACTTAGTCGAGTCTTCTAAGTCAACAAATTAAGCTTGGCCTTAATAGTTGCTGGACTTTCAATTTTTAGCATTTAATCGGGTCATCAAACAGGCTTTAAGAGACTAAAGTTTTTACAAGTTTAATGATTTGATTGTACAAATTATAAGTTCAAGGGTACATTAAAAACACAACGAATGGAGACTGTGAGCCTATTTGATAAAACTGAAAATTAAGTGCCGAAAATTTAAGTACTGAGTTTCAAGTATTGATAGTCTTAAGTGCTAAAAATAGGAATAAAAGGTTTGATAATAGTTGAAAATTGATAATCAAATAATGTGAATCTCATACAAAAATATGACCAATTATTGGTAGGTTTTGTCAATATAATTGGGAAGATTCTAATTATCATCAATTATCTATCGAACGAATTAAGTAACTCATACATTTTTTTGTTTGTTTGACAAGTGATTCCTACTCTCTCTTTTTTTGTCTGTTATACTCTAACTCTCAATTCACTTTCAGACTTTTGCCTTGCCTCTGTCGAATCCCACGTTTGAAACTAAATGTCCCCATCCCTAACCCCTCCTGAGAAAGTGGAGAATCGAATTCCACACCAATCCCTTCCTAAGTAGAAAGGATGGCATCTGGGGTAAGCCCCAGTGGTTAAGTAACTCCTATCTTATTCACCATATAAAGTGGATTTTTGACTCAATGTAATCATCTAAGTCAGTTATGACAAAAAAAAAAACATCTAAGTCGGTTCTCTTTAATGTTATAAGCTTAATCTCATGTAAATGCCGAAAATTTTTAATTTTTAACACTTAATTGAACTAAATGTCATTTTACCTTCGAAAATTCTCTACAAGTCCAATCATCTGGCTGTTCATGCTCATCTAAGAATCTGTAATTCGATCGCGTCCGATCGGAAAGGCTATAAAACATTGCCGTTTCCCGGTTCAACCAAAGCATTTTTGCAGTAGTAGTAGTTGTAGACTGGAAGTTACCGGGCAAAATGGCGTCTAAAAACTACCAAACATGTTGGTTCTCTTTTGATCGTTGCACGTCGGACGAGAGTGTGAAATGAAAATGAACCGAAAATGTCAAAACCGAAACCCTGAAGCATTTTCCAGGAAAATTAACGGGACCTGATTTTCGCGGAAAGTTAGCTGTGTCGGTCCCGCAACTGTCTATAGGTCGTTCTCTTCTTCTTCTTCTTCTTCGTCTTCTTCTTCTCCTCTCTCTCGCATGCAACAACAACTAGTCCGAAATAGCGAGGAGACTCGAGTCGGTGAGAGACGAAGTTCAACCGCCATGACGAGACAAAAGAGAGCGATGGATGGAAGGCTTCTTCCGCTGAAGAAAGTCAACCGGAGAGGAAGTACAACGTGTGAGATGTTGCATTACGTGATTGAAACGTGCTGCATAATTGACACAACATATCTGCATCATTCGCGATTTTGCTCATCCCTTTCATTGCGGCTTCAAGTGTTTGCCCGTATCGAGACTTTGTCGAGTCGCGTGGAGAATGAGACTCCTATCTTTAAGGATTAATACCAAGAAAAATCTCAAACTGATATATAATAAATTTACATCAAATTAATTTTTTGATCATTAAAAATCATAAACGAGCTAATCTATAAAAAAATTTACCCCAAATTAATTTTTCAACCACCAAAAACTCCAAACCAATATATTTGTGATATACCCTATGTTAATTTCTGTTAAATTGGTATAATACTGGTATAGCTGCGACAATCGAAAGGCAAATCCCAAAAAAATAAACTTGTCAACTGCCACGTGTATCCAACTCAGCAATTTAACGGTAAAATTTAATAGAAAACAGAGGGTAAATTTGTCACAGGTGTACCAGTTTAGGGTCTTTGATGGTTAAAAAATTAATTTGGAGTAAATTTATCACGGGTGCATAAATTTAGGGTTTTTCGTGATATTAACCCTATCTTCAATTACTCGAGTTAAGGCTATTAAATAGGATTTTATGAAACTCTAATTTTTTTTATTGATTTACAAGACTCTGAACTTTGCTATTATAAGGTTTAATTAAATCCATATTCTTCATAAACTCACTATTTTTTTGGGTGAAGAATCCATCCTTCGTTTCATAAATAGTTAATACCACGGAGAACTCCAAACTAATATACTTGTGATAAATTTACCCCAAATTAATTTTTTGACCATCATAAACCCTAAATTGGTACATTTATGATAAATTTACTTTCCATTAATTTCTATTAAATCATATTAATACTACGAAAATTCACAAACTGGTAACAGAGAGTAAAACCCCAAATTGGTAAATCCGTTAACTGCCACATGTTATCCAACTCTGCAATTTGATTGTAAAATTTAACGGAAACTAACGGATGATAAATTTGTTACAAATGTACTGATTTAGAGTCTTTGGTGGTCAAAAAATTAATTTGTGGTCAATTTGTTATAGGTGTGATAGTTTGGAGCTTTTTGTGGTATTAACCATTTCATAAATGACCACCGATTAATAATTTGATATTCTTTACAATTTATTTATTTATTTTTCCTTTTTTTTCTTTCTCTTTCTTTTTTTGTTCTTCTTCCCTTCTTCTTCTCCCTCTAGTTGGTTGCCAGACCTCAGCGACTGGCTAGAAGCGAGGGCCGATGAGGTTGCCCTCGCCAATGACTGGCTTGCACCAATGACGGACCTCGCCAAACCCTTGAAGTCATGAGGGCAGCCTCACTCAGGCCCCCTGCTTGCCTAACGATGCTCACCCTCACTGGATTTGGCAAGGGTTGAGCCTCATGTGGGCCCTCCCTTTTGGCCAGCCGCCGAGGTCCGGTAACTAACCAGAGGAAGAAGAAGAATGGAAGGGAAAAAAAAAGAAAGAGAAAAGAAAAATAAATAAATAACAGAAAAAATTAAAAATGTTATTAAAGATTGTTTATGTCAACATCGGTTATGCAATGCAGGATGGTTGGCGTCCGTGTCAGCGATTTGGTCAGATAGATTGAATTTGCACAAATGCAAATGGTTTATGACTCAATCGGTAAAAAAAAATTAGAATTAAATTGGTATATTTGTAATAAGTTTATGACCTTTTTGTACTTTTTTCCTAATGGGTACAATTTCAATTTTCAATAAATTTTGAAGCTTTATTGTAATATTTTCGCGCCACCTATGACACGTCATCACCAAACGCGTGAGAGGATAGACATTAACTCCAAGGTTTGGCAACGTAAGACAGAAAGCAAAGCCGCCTCCGTGGCGTTGACCAAAGCGTTTTACTCGCTTGGGTTGCAAAGCAAATCCACATGCACTGATTTTTTCTTTGCTCTTTTTTAAAATTTTTTTTTATAATTTCTGTCACCATTGAAGTTAGCTCTATTTAATTAACTAAGAAAATACTTTTCAAGTTATTGTCGATGAACATTATCCGTGCAATTCCATTGGCCACGATTAAATTTTTAATTCTACGAATTTTTCGTTTTATGAAACACATTATTTTTGCTTATATTCATCCACCAAGATAAAATCACACGCATCCATGTCCTTCAGTACCAAATGACCAATTAAGTAGAATCATCTTTTAATAATATACGAGACAGAAGACATACGATATACGGGCCTACGCATATCGTCATTTCTCTTGAAATTCCATCAAAAAAGTGTGGCGTTATTATTACATAATGGTAAAATAACAAATAATAAATCAAGCAACAGTAAATTGTTTCGACATCATCAATTGGATGGAGAGCCATATTAATAATTGATTTTTCTCCAACATTCCTCGAATGCTCATATATTTTCTCAATAGATAACTATAACACACATTTTATAGGTGTTATAGTTTACGAGTGGTAGTCACGTGTGATTACAAGAGATTATTTGACTATTTTTGACACTCGCTCAGGGTCACACATAGAAGATAACTAATATTCGAGCATGTGACCCATTGATCATAGATCGGAGTTGAAAAGATTTACCATAAACTCGGGTTTAAGGCAAAAATAGTTCAATTATTTAAGGATTAATGCCACGAAAAAATCTAAACTGGTATATCTGTGAAAATTCACTCCAAATTAATTTTTTGACCATCAAAAACCCTAAATTGATACACATGTGACAAATTTACCCTAAACTAATTTTTTGACCACCGCAAACCTCAAACCGGTATATTTATGACAAATTTACCCTCTGTTAAATTGGACTAATATCATGAAAAATCACAAACTGGTACACCTGTGACAAACGGAGGGACAAAACTTCAAATTAGTAAACCTGTCAACTGTAAAGTATTATCCAACTCAGACGGTAAAATTTAACGGAAACTAACGGATAGTAAAACTGTCACATGTGTACACTTTGTAATTTTTTGTAGTTAAAAAATTAATTCGAGGTAAATTTATCATAGATGTGTCAGTCTGGGATTTTCCATAATATTAACTCATTATTTAATAGGCAAGGAAATTGTATGTGCAGCTTCATAAGGTTCAGGAGGGCAAATTGCTAAAATCTAGAAAAGAAAAAAGAAATAATTCTAAAATAGGCAACAATTCCCAGAAATGAACTTCACTTTTCGCGGAAACGACGCGCCTACTGCTCCAGACACGACATTATAAAACACACTCCCATGATCACAAGCTCATTACTTCTGAATTTGAGCTTCAGTTCGTGCACGAACTGTTCATCGTCTCCTTCATCTCTCCGCTACATCTGTACCCATTAGTTCAGCAACCAAATCCTTCCGAAATTCAGACACTCTGTCAGTTCTTGTTAAGGTCAACCAAAAAAAAGAAGATCATGTCGACGCAAAAGAGAGCTCTGGCTTCCACTTCTTCAGGTCAAGCAAGTCTGCTCAAGAGGCCCCGCACCGCTCGAACGAAGTGAGTTCGCTCTCCCTTCTCCACGTTTCGATGCTCGATCGAGTTATTCGATGATCGTGTTAGTTTTAGCTTTACTTGTGGGGATATTCAATGAAGGGTCCTTAAGTTGAAGATTCTTGGAGTTAGAAACATGGCAAAGCCCGCGCTGAAGCATAGCATTGATTAGCCTTTTGCCTCGTGCAGTTCTAAATCGCTTTCGTTCTGGCTTTTGTTTGTGGGTTTGTGCTGTGGCTTTAATACGAAGTCCTAAAGACCTCGGATGTTGCCGTCTCGAATCTGTTATGCGAATTCGGCATGGGCCAATCGCAGTATTTCCTCCTTATTCGAATTGAACTCTGTTGGAAACTTTTACCTAGCAAGTGAGCTGTTATTGTCACTGGGTTACTTTGCTTTCCTGTTTGCTAAAATTTTCCTCTCTTGGTTGTACTTTTGTGCTGATCTGATCTTCACACAGTCAAACATGGCGTCGGTCCGGGAGGAATCACGTGCCGAGGAGCTGGTGGATGGAGAAGGTTGTCCGGAGAGTGGTAAGATAAAGTAGCCAACTTGGACATACAAAATACAGTCTTTATTGTACTTCAATGGCTGATCTCTTCAATTAGGAGCGGTTGGATGCATTTCTGACCTTGAAGTTAGTTTCCGGATAGAAATCCGCACGAGAAATTGTGGCGCGATGCGTAGAGAATTATTGTTGGAGTGGTAAAAATGACCCACTGACTGTTTTAGGCTTTTCCTGTGAAGCAACTCCACTAAGAACACGATTTACGCTTTTCATGTTGTTTTGGACAGCATGGATCACAAAAAGATCCAAATTTTCAATGAAGTGGCTTGGACATAATTGTCTCCTTGAATCTTGGAAAATGTGGTCGATGACATTTTGCAAGTTGAAGGAGGACAATGAAGATACCTGTGATGTGAAACCTGAATGAGATGAATTCGTGACAGATTGCAATGTAATTCTTCGCTATTGCTCTTTGCTGGACAGGTCAGAGAAGAGCTGGAGCTTGCTAAACCTCATTCGGCCGAATGCTGTCAAAGGTGAATATACTTCATTTGGTTTGTTGGCAGTAGCTCATTTGCATCAACTGATTCCTCCGGTAGAATTTCAATGTGTATTGTCTAGCCAACTTAAAATATCATCTGAGTATCATATGCCATCGATGCGTGATTCTGCTCAGCAAAGTGCAATACCTGCGCATATATCTATTTGTCAATCACTGAAAGGATGTCACGTTTGGAGATAGCTGCTGATTAACTTTACTTGCTTCTGTGATCAATGTACTGCATAAACATGTATTCCAGCTTTACGTAGACTTTATATGTTGCCTTAGATTAAGGGAGTGCATCAGACGGTCTGTTATCATTCTTTTAATACCATAATTGGGTCTGACATTCATTTATACTAGTAACTAAAGTGTTACAAATGGTGTGTCTATGTGTTGCGAATAAGTCCACAAGACAGCAGTTGTTCACGGTGTCGATTTCCATGGTGTAGGTGCATGGGGAATGCTCCCGAAGAGATGATGCAACAGATAACCTCAGTGAAGAATGCTGTTGAGAAACTGGTAAGATAAACAGAGTTCATAAAATTGCCACTTTGTCTCGAGACATATTTCCATCAGCACTTCAGATATGAGTTGTTTATCTGTATGTCATGAAGTGATCGAATGAACTTATTGAGTAACAAGTCTGTTTTATATCGACTATTTGAACAACATTCATTGAGCACAGACTTTGCACAATTTCTTTTTTTTTTTCCTATTAGTAAATATATATGTTGTAATATAATTCGAAAGCTAATAGGATCTTGCAATTTAATCAACACGAAATCGATAGAGAAATAAATGAGGAGCAATAAAGCACGCCAAAGATTTTACGTGGTTTGGTCTGAGTGCCCGTACCTACTCCATGGGCAGAGCCAGCAACAAATAATCCATTAATCAAATTGGAGAAACAAAGTTATAATTGCTCACATGCTCGAATGTTTCCCATACCTAAATTACACCAACAACTACAGTGTTTAGTCTCACAGAGAATTACCTCACCGCTTAAAACACTTACGTTTCCACAAAGAAAACGCCACAATTTGGGTGTAAACTTCTTCTTGCACGGACCACCGTCTGCTGCTTGAAGGAGTCCCACGAACAAACCCACTGTGCGTCACGTCTTGAAGAAATCAGAGCTCAATGCGGCTGTTTTAGGAGTCCATCTTTTATTCGGATATACTCTCTTAACAGCAAAAGAACAAACCTTCCTTTTGTGTGGTTTCAAAGATATATATCCGCTCTTGGTGTTGACCTTCATTATTTATCCCCAACAGAAAATCCAACGCCCAATACATCCAAATTATTAGAGGGCACACCGAATTTGAACAAATCAAGATCCTCCAAACGAGTCTGGTTTTGTATACGAGCTTAAACTCGAGACATAATTTAACAAATTATTTATTTTAATGGACGGCATGTGGAAAGAAAACAAGGGAGGACTGCATCCCATAGAAGTCCATTACATCATAATGTCCCACACAAACAGCCCAATCAAGGTGTCCAACCTCCCCATAGATGTGAACTCCTGAGAAAGATCAGCCTGTTATACTTAAAGTAACTTTTATCCATTGAGTGACGGCCCTTCCACTTTGCACCGTCGAATCACTAAGGCGAACTTTCATCCCCGCTCGACATAAAGGATCAAAGGATAGGAGATGCTTTTGAACAACCAATTATGGAAGTAAAACCTGATAACTTAAGATGAATTCATCAAGTTGACTTTCAATCTGATGACACCGCGCACCAAATGACAACATGACATCATAGTCTTCCACATCTACGCTACCAGTACAACAGCAAAATACTACCCAGGAAAACAAGATGCAAACTCAAAACCATGCCACCAGATTACAGCAACGTTAACCAACAATAACTTGCCAATTTCTACACAAACAGTTGACATCAGCAGTAAGTGTCTTATTTCTTTCCTGAATCATAGCTTCTAAAGAGACTTTAACGGGAAAAGAACAACTGCAACAAGGTCACGACAAGCTTGAGGGGATACATTTTCATGCCTCACTAAGTGCTCTCTCTACATAGATAATAAATTGTTGCATTCCAAGTAAATTCATCCTTCCAATCTCTTGAGGATCTAGGAAATTAGAGTAGCTGTAAAACTGGTTCCCAAAATCTGCTTTGAGAATACACAATTAAGGAACAAGTGCATTCAAGATTCATGTTGTCCGCATAGCACGCAAGTGCTATCAATGTCAGACCAAGATTTCATCCTGTCCGTGTGCAACCTATTATGAATCACTAGCCAATTTATAAAGCCATATCTTGGCACATTAGGCTTAAACCACACAAGCCTAAGCCAAGTCACTTTGTTCACAAGCCTTAGCCAAGTCACTTTGTTCATACATTTCCTCACTATCTTCCAAGCCTCCTCTACAGAGAAAGAGCCACTAGATGATCCAGTAAATACCACTTTGTCTATGGAGCTAGAGTTTGGAGAAATCAACCTACACAAAGCCCATCTGAGTTTCTAGCAGATCATCAGAACTTGCTGGAGGTCATCTCCTTCCGATTTGCCTCAATAACATCCACAACTGTGGCTTTATCACCTAAAGCTGAATCATAACCATTTGAAAGCACATGTGACATTTTACATGAACATGGAATGAAATAGAAATAAAAATGGTTAGGACTGTTCATATTAGCTATATATACAACTGCTGTTTGGTAAACACTGTGATTTGAAATGTGCTTGAAGAACTTAGCTCAATAAGGTGTTTGATAAGTTGTTTTTAAGCGGGAAGTTTTCAACTACTTTTGATGGAATGGATTAGTTTTGTATCCCTTCTGCTTCATTTTTTTGATGTCTCCAACTTTGGTAATTCTTCTGTTGGTGGCTTTGAACAGACGGGAATAGTGGAGCTTGCAAATATTCACTCTCCCCACCTTGGAAGGTATGAATGCACTTCCCCCTTGATGCTGGTTTTCTGTGTAGTATTGACCCGTTATGCATTGTTGATTTTTGGGAGAATAATGGTCCGCCCTACCTAACACCCCACAGCATGCAGTCAGAGCTCAGTGAGAGTCAGGCCAGAATGACTAGGTCATGCGCCAAATTGTCAATGCGCCAACTTAGAACATACTTTTTGTAGCTTGAGAGCGGTGGAGCATTTTATCTTGTTTTTTTTTTATTTTTAAAATACTCTCTGAGAAAATGCATCTATTTATCCTTGTAGTTTACCTAGCAGACTTGTCCAAATTTCGACCCAAAAAAAAAAAAAAGACTTGTCCAAATGAGATGTTTGGTAGTTTGTCTCTCTGTGTCATTACTTTTCCAATTTTCCGCTTCTATACCTGTACCTATTTCTAATAATTGGTTTCCAAAGAAAATGCAGGGTTAATGGTAGATCTACAGCAATAAATGATGTGAGAAACTTACGGCTTCAATTTAAAAACAAACTGTCAGATACTCTATTATTTACTGGGAGGAAACTACAAGGAGATGGGGGTGCTCGCATTTCTGTTACCTTGATCGATGTGAATACAGGGGATGTCGTTACATCAGGCCCGGAATCCTCCATTACGTTGGACGTTGTCGCGCTTGAAGGTGACTTCAACAAAGATGATGAGGATAACTGGGCTCATGAAGAGTTTGAGAACTACGTGGTTAAAGAGCGTGAACGAAAGGGGCTACTTTTGACAGGAGATCTGCAAGTGACGCTCAAGGGAGGTGTTGGAGAGCTGGGAGAACTGATATTTACTGACAATTCCAGCTGGAATAGGAGTAAAAGATTCAGGATAGGGCTTAAGGTGGCAATGGGTTATTGTGGGAATACGCGAATCCGAGAGGCCATAACAGATGCCTTCCGTGTCAAGGAACATAGAGGAGAATGTAAGTCTTTCATAGTCCTTAACAGTTCATATAACCCTGTCCTTCCTTTATGACTGACCATAAACTTGGTTTCAGACATCCAGTCCTCAATAATTTTTATTGAGAGCTTCATTTCATACGAACCTTTACATCTCCAACAAAAATTCTGATGAATAAAAAAAGATCTGCTTCAGGAGAGAGTCTGAACGCCTACAGAAGTTTGCTTCTACTCATTAATTTTATATGGACTGAGACCTTATTGTATATGTTCTGTCCATTTAAAGCATCCAAGAAACATGATTCACCGGCATTCGAAGATGAGATCTGGAGGTTGAAGATGATTGCTAAGGATGGGAAATATCACCAAAAACTGAGTGAAGCCGGAATACAAAAAGTGGGGGACTTTCTACTGCAATTGTTTATGGACCCCACGAAACTAAAAGAGGTAAGCACTTAGTTAATGATTCTCAATTAGGGTTTGATTGACTTCCACGAATGTAAATCTTGCGTGTTCACTCATTGTAGATTCTTGGAATGGGCTCAAATTCGACTAACTGGGATACCCTTGAAAATCATGCAAAGAGTTGCAAAACAAATTGGAAACTTTATTTGTACTATACGGATGGCACGAGGAAGCATGGTGCTGTATTCAACACAGATCGCCAGCTAATTGGCCTAATTAAAGATAGAGTATATTGTGCTACTCATCGACTTTCTGCCGATGATCAGGTAAGTAACTAGGAGTTCCTACTAAGTTCTATCAAGCCAGTTCACATATCATGCTTAATTCGTATAATTTGTCCCATATTATCTATGTAATTCGCAATTTGATGTTTACTCGTAGCTGTGTGACTTAATTGGTTTTAGTATTGATCAGAGATATGGAAACTTATAACGAGGAGTTGGTTGGACATCTAGATGCTTTTGTTTTTTGGTTTTTTATCAGTAAAAGTAATATGAAGTGCCTTGTAGAGAGAATTAAAAGAAAATCCAGATGCTTTGTCTAGATCCATAGTTGAGACGATTTGTTAATAGATTGATTTTGAGCTTTCGCTCATTGCAATGCAAAGTTGAAGATAGTGACCTTGTATATCTCTAAGTGGCCCTCTATACTCCGCAGTTAAAATTATACAAAAAAGCATGAGTAACTTGGACAGAACTTTCAGCAGTTGATTTGTTGTCATCCATGAAAATATGAGGCACTCATCAGCGTATTGTCGTTTGAGCAATTAACACATTCATGTTGCAACTATTACTTTTCAAGTATAAAGCTATGAAGATCTTTATTACTTGCGCAATACAACTTGATCCGTGTTTTATTTCTTCGCTGGTCCTTTCTCGATCAACTTTGTATCTTTACCCTGAGGATCCTTGCCTTGATCGTACTCTCCATTACATCTTTCGAGCACCTGACCTTTATGTGGTGGAGAAATGGGCAGCAATAGGCATAAAGTGAATTGAGCTTCTTTCATTGTTTCTTTTATTCTTCTTTCCCTGTGCTGGACTTACGTACTTACTCTGAGTACAAGTTCATCCATCGGAATGCAACATCATTTGCCGAAAAAAGATAGTGTTGATTGGAGTCAGAGCGTGTACCTTCAATAGTGGAGATAGATACTTCAATTAGTCTAGCTTGAGTGATTTACCGAGTGTTTTTCTTCCAGGAACATAGAGATACAATCGAGAAAAACGCCTTTGATAACTGGAATGATGTTATGGAGTTCAATGGAGAGTCCTTTTCTTGTTCAATGCAGAAGAAAAGCTCAAGCTCTTTTCCATCTCAAGCCTTACAAATTGAAAATTTCCCCCCTGTTCAATGTAAATTGACTCCACGGATCGGTGCTGGTCCAGGTGGTCCAGTAGCTCCTCCGTCCAATGTGGGCTTCAATGCTGAAGGTACGTGCTCTAAAACACAATATTTTCTCTCCTATAAGCACAGAGAAAGATCGTGGCCTGTGAAATAACAAGGAATACAGGACTTTGCACTTGATTTTGAGCTTTAATAAATAAAAGCAATGTGTTTCAATAAATAAAAGCAATGTGTTTCAGAACCTTATGATTTGGGTTCCACATAATACGAGGACGTTTATTTGTCCAGCTACCCTTCAATTGAACTTGCATCCAAGGAGATTTTACTAATTTTGCCCCCTCTTTGGCACCGACTCTTAAGTCATGTGTAGAGGATTCCCATTTGTAAGTTAGGCTTTGATAGATGCAACCAAAAATGCTCTGAAATAGTTTTACTATGACGAACAAACAAGAGGAGTAGGTTAGCGCAGATCACTACCAAACCAGTAATCTAATAGATTATCAGTACAAAGGCAAAAGGGCAATAATCGAGTATGTATGTGTTCTGTTCATCTGACCATTTATGTATATATGTATGTATTTGTTCTGTCCAAGCAATTAAAAAGCTACTAAAGGATTAGTTTGTAACTTGTGCATTTTTTAGTGGGAGAATGGGGCAGGGGGAGGGTAGATACGCATGAACACCTTCACCTTCACTTAGGTGAACACAAGTGAACATTGGTAAAATATTGCTATCGCTAGATTGATATAAATAGATGCAATAAGCACGCGGCAATGTGTCTATATGTGCATTTTCATTAAATGGTGACTGGAAGATCATATTATTAAAGAAGGTTGGTTGGTTAAACTTATATGTCAGAAATTGGGATGTACAATGTTCAATTTGTGAGGAAATGGCCTGGTCAATTGAAGCTCTTAAAGATAACAGAGACCAGTTGCCAGAAAAACTAAATAGATGTGCAGGGTAAGCAAAATTGGTAGCATTTTCCGTAACAGTAAAAGCTCATAACTGTTCCTTTCCAAAATTCTTTATAAGAACATAGACCTGCGCTCATGTCGGCCTCTGTTTACTAACCATACTAATGTTCTCGTTCTTTCTCTAGGACATAATGGTGAGATTGCTTTGGCATCGCCAGTACAGTTGCAAAATACCAATTCTGGAAATGCCATGATGCTTCCATTCGATGAAAGTGTTAGTCTTGCTGCACAGCAGCCCATATCAACAGACCCCTTGAATGTTCTAATTCCTCAGGGAGACAATGGTATCCCTACAGTCGGATTGCCAACACAATGCCTTGGTAACAATTTCCAATATGCCATGTGGAGCCATACGATCCATTCTTCGAACCAAATGGACTATATGGTGAATGAGAATGCTCCCCCTTGTGAACCACCCTCTGCCGCTATATCAATCTCCCAATCTAGCAGTACACTTCCTCCTCCTGAAGGCAATCGTGTGATGGAAGATTTGGAGCCAACCGTTTCAGAAGATAGTTTGGCTTGTTTGTTGGCCTTTTTCAGTCAGAGCCCACCACATGATGACGAGTGCTTTACGACCCCATTATATGATGGTGGTTCTGTTAGAGGTACCAGCAAAGGTGTTAATGGCTGGCTCAAGATAAAGGCAGTGATGCGGTGGGGTATCTTCATCAGGAAGATCGTCATGAGGAGACGTGCCATAATTGTGCAGTTAGATGAACCACGGATTGAAGTCGAGGCTTGATTTGATTTGTTCTTGATGTTGCATTAGGTAAGATGATTCTCTGTTTGCTGTCTGATAGAATCGATGAGATTCTTTTCTTGGATGAGGTCATAATAGTTACTTCGTGTTTTTAATTAGTGTACAGAACAGCTTTGTTGGAACGCCTTCGAGCGAATACTTTCTTCATCAGAAAGTCTCTCTACTTCAGTTCTTTCAACATCTTTCTTCAATAGTTCTCTGATTTTTCGCATGTAAGGAATGCAAGGTATATCATTCACAGAGAGTACTTGCATTCTGCGCTTATTGTTCATAGAAATAAATACCACGTCCATTGAGTCCTATGTATAAAGTCTTGCCTGTTTGCTGCTATCCACTGACAATAAAGCTATGTTCGGAACACGTACACCGTTAAATCATGATGCTGAGTTCCCTCGATATCCTCCATTCATTCAGACTGTTAGTTTAATATTGATGTAGAATTACAAATAAGCAACTACTGAAAAAGTAGCAGAAGTACATTCTCAAGGCTATGCAACAGCTCTAGATGGAGGGTTTAGCTTAGCTGAAGGTGTTTTGCATGAGCGTGACAGACACAAACCGCGTTCTAATGTCTTCCTGGCCTTCTCTTCTTGATTTCTCAGTCCTTGAAAAGCTTATGTAAAACGGCTCGTGGATAGTTTCGATGGTATAAAAAGTCGTGTTTGCATTCCATGGTACAGGGAACAATCGTACCTTGCATAGTCTTAAAAATGATGCTTCCATGGCAATGCAAGATAACTGGTCTTCCTATTCCTCACTTGCACTCCACCTGGAGTGTTCTCTTTCCATCATATGCAATTTATACTTTTGTGATTACTTAAGTCGAAACAGATGGGAGAAAATTTACACGAGTTTGATTTGACCTTTGAAATTAGTCATGATTTTGTTTGGCCAAATGAAAGTTAGTCATAGTCACTAGTCAGTATTTGTGTTGTCAAATCTGATATTGTAATTGTGAAGTGCTGCTCAATGTAGAGAGACCATTGTACTGACAGCCTTCTCCTAAGTCGACGCCCACCCACTTCCTTCAATTTTTGGTCTCTTCTCTCTCTTTTGGGCCATGTCCATCGAGTCCAAAGAATTAAGTCTTGCCTGTTTGCTGCTATCCACAGGCAAGAGAGCTATCTTTCAGAACACATACACTGTTAAATTATAATGCTAAGTTCCCTCGATATTCTCCATTCATACAGACTGTTATTTTAACAATGATTACGAGTCACAAATGATAATTAGTTCTACTTCTACTAAAAAAGTAGCATAAGTAAATCTTACATAATTGTACAACGGCTATAAATAGAGGGTTTAGCCAAAGGTGTTTTGGGTGACCCACACAGATCGTCTTCTATCTTTTTCCTGGCCTTCTCTTCTTGTTTTCTCGGTCCTTGAAAATTGTAACAGTAATTTGTCTGAAACGAGCTCATGTAAGATGGCTCACGGATAATTTGATTTAGCATGGGGATTGCACTGGAATTTAATCCTTCTAATATAGGATTGAGTATCTCAATCTTTTATTTTAGGTGTCATTCCACGGTTCCTTTATGTCCTGAACTATTCACAGTTTGCTTTCAAGTATCACCATCTTCCATTGACTATCCAAATAAACCCAAAAAAGAGAAGTGTTTGCCTTCCATTGTACACGGACCAATCATACTTTGCATGCGGTCTTTGAAATGATCCTTTCATGGCAATACAAGAAAACTGGTCTTCCTATTCCTCACTTGCACTCCATGTAGAGCATTCCCTTTTTCCAGCATGCAACATCTAGGTATAATTACCAAAAAGTTTTAAATCTATTATACATATGTCAATTTAGTCCTAAACTATTAATTTGACCAATTCAGCCATAAATATTTTAACGATTTGTTAATATAGTCCTTCCGATCATTTTTGGCTAGTAATCGTTGATGTGATCTACATGGCACGGCCGGTGCTGACGTAGATAATGTTTTTTATATTTTTTTAATAATTTTTTTCTTTTCTTTCTTTTTTTCCTTCTTCCTCCGCCGGTCGCCATAGCCAACGATCAGCCACAAGCAAGGGTCGAGTGGCCTCAAGCAAGGCTCCTAGCGAGGTCGACCCTTGCTAGCCTTGCCCAACCCTTGCCTATGGCTGGTCATCGGCCATGAAGACCGGCAGGGGAAAAGGAAAAAATTTAAAAAATTAATGAAAAATTAAAAAATTGCAAAAAAATTGTTAACATTAGTGCTAGTCATGCTCTGTAGGACAGTAGGCGTCCACGTCAAAGATTGACTACCAAAATTGGTTCATGGGACTATATTGATAACTCATGAAAATGTTTAGGACAAAATTAAGAGGTTTAGAAGTGAATTGGGATTTGTTCAATAGGTTAATGACTTTTTCTGTAATTTCCTGCAACATTTACTTGTGATTGCTTTAGTCAAAACAGATTTAAGAAAATTTACACGAGTTAGATTTGACCACTCATTCTAGTCATGGTTTTTTTCTGCCCAAATGAAAGTTAATTAGTCATAGTCTGCATTTCCGGTATCTAATCTGATGATGTAATAATAAAGTGGTGCTCAATTTAGAGACCATTGTAGTGACATGTGGCCTTCTCCTAAGTCGACACTTTTTTTTTCTGCCCACTTTTTTTTTCCCTTTTCTCTCTTTTCAGGACGTCGATTGCAACTCTCTCTCTATCATACGCCCTGTGCCTGTGGAACTATAAGGAGTTCGAGATGAATCACATTATAAGATTCCAGAGTATATAGGGCAGTTAATTTGACAGCGCGGTGCATTACGATGGGCATAGGTCACGGAATTACCAGAGTTGGATTTCGAGAAACTTTTTACTAGGGTCGGCGTCAAATTTTACTACCAAAGTTAATTTGGGGATTATATGTAAGGAAAATTTGGTTTATGACAGTTGCAAGTTTAACCAACTAGATTGATTAAGAATCAATAAAAGCGAGGACTACAATTTATATCGATTGCCTTTTTTTCGGTCTTGTATACAGGAAATATGGCCATAATACCCGCAAGCGCGAGATGGGAAGTGTCATTCTTTGATAAACCATTAAAACCATAAAAAAAAAAGTTACAATAAGTTTGGAAAAAAAACATACTATGAAAAGAGATACATAGCATGAGGGAAGATTCTACTAGGCAAAAAAAAATGGAACATTGTAACTTTTATAATGTAATCGTACATAAATTATTGAGAGAAAGTAGTACGAAGTTCTGCTGTACACCTATTAGACATGTTTACACTTTTGTGATATATCTAATGTACAGCACAACTTTACGACGTGGAGCCGTAACTAAGTATAGAAATATTGTGCACATAGATCTATGATATTACGACATTTCGCCCATATTCAAACTTTAATTATCCCATCGTACGGTCAATGAAGGAGTTGGAAATCCGGTTTAGGAGGTGCGAGATTTCTAGCAAGTTTGAGTTGGACTTTTTAATCCCAAGTTTTTGGTAAAAATTGTATCAAGTAATAACAACTTAATTAATTAATTTATTAGACGAAAAAACCGAGATGTTCATGAAAATATAATATCCAATCAAAATGTGATAAAATAATAAGACTGTATGTGTGGAAAAATGAAAAACTTAATCTTAGAATTAACTAAAAGAAGCATTGATTTACAAAAAAAAATGTAGAATATCTTAACTCTGAAGAGTTAAGTAGGGGACGGTTCAACCATGTTTACGTTGATCAAACCTCATGCAAGTATCCGAAATAGCATTGATGCTCCCTTGAGCGCCGGTCATGGTAGCTCGAGCTTCCTTGAGTGGTAGACTATGGATTATGATAGCTAAGTTTTAACCTACTTTCTTTACGTGGTCCTCGAATTTTGAATTTTTAAAATCCGGTTCAAGATTTTTTACAATCAAGTCCCCTCGTCGCCAATTTTCAAAATAATTGAATGTAATTTGTCGATCGATGCTGACCAAAGGCACGATATTCGAGGGATCGATGCCATTGTAGAATAAGAAACTATACCACAGTAAATAAAAGCTACTGAAAATTTTCTTAGTTGTGTCTTCAATTATGTTTCCACAACTTGGTTCACTCAAATCAATTATCCACTGTCGTGCCGACTATTGCAGCATCATCTCTTTTGCTAGCACCGATAGACATGAGATGTTTGATTTGTCTAAATCACTAGCTATAGATTGTTTAATAAAGCTGAAAAATAAATGTTGAAGATTTCGGTTATGAATTTTAAGCGTTAAAAATTTAAAATTCCGAAAATTTGAAAAATAAAGTTGTTCTGTGACAATTAGATAGCTGATATAATCAAAATTCTCGCCATAATATATACGTTAGTAAGCCATTTCACATTGGAGTTTGCGCTCCCCTTCGCATAGTTTATAATTGAACGCAATTCTCGGATTACTCGATATCCGCGTTAGGTGTTTTGACCTATAGTATCTGTTAGTAGTTTATGTGGTAAAAAAATCCCTTACTCATCATATTAGGTGGATTTTTGACTTATTTGTGTCTTTTACGTCAATCCAAATTGAGCTTATCAAACAAGCTTAGCCTCATTAATTGTTGAATATTCAATTTTTAGCTCTTAATTGGGTCATCAAATTAATAGGCCTTAAGAGACTTTATTAGAAAGTTTTCACAAGTTTAATGATTTGATTGCATAAATTATAAGTTCAAAGGCCACATGAAAAAGCAACAGATGGAGATTATGAAACTATGTGATAAAATTGAAAAAATGCTGAAAATTTAAGTACTACATTTTAAGGAGTTGATTATGTTCAGACCCAAAAATAGGAATAAAGGTTTGATGATAATTGAAAATCAATAGTAGATTATTTTGAATCCTTGACAAGCATAGAAAAATGACATGATAATTATCATGATCAATTCGGTTCCAAACTGTTCAATTTGACCAAATTCAACTGAAGATCTTTCAATTTGACCTTTTGAAAAGTAGCCAATGTAATACTTTTGGCAAAAATTGGTTAGAAATCAATAACGTGTACATCTGTCCTCCTACATGGCATGGCTAGCATGATGTGGATAATTTTTACAATTTTTTTTTTAAATTCTTTTGCACCACGTAAGACGGCCGACGTCAACGTCATCGATTACTAGCCAAAATTGGCCGTAAATACTACATTGGCAAATCTTCAAAATATTTATGACTAAATTGATCATTGTACAATAGGCTTATGACTTTTTTTTATAGTTTTTCCGAAAAAAAATGACTATTATTAGTAGGTTTCATCACTATATTTGGCAAGATTTTGGATTACCAATAATTATTTTTAGTTTGAACAAATTAAGTAACTCCTCTTTTACTCACTAGATAAATTGGATTTTTGACCAAACCTAATCATGTAAGTCAAATTTTATTTAAAGTTAGCAAATTTAATCTCATTAAACCTGTGAGATTTCATAATA